TGTATAAGTGTGCTTTACACAATTGATGTGTGTGTGGATTGTGATGAGAGTTGTATGAGCCCCAATAAAATGATTTTTTTTAAAAGAAAGAAACTTGAGCTACTGGGTTGAATTTATTTCCAGACCTGATGGGTGACTAAAGACCATAATATTGGGGACTCTATCAGTCTCTTTCTATCTGAACAGTAAAGTTTTTTATGAATTTGAGTTTTGTTCCATAATTTTTTTCTCCCTCTTTCTAGGAACTTCTACTATGATCCCTTTCACACTAGTTCTTCTGGACTCAGGGCTATAGAGACTAATATTTGTATGATCTAGGATAATGGAATTCCCCTATGAACATTTTGAAGCCCGTTGCTAAATTTTGCCTTAAAAATATTAAATGTTGCATTTTGATTTTTCATAACAGTCACAAACTTGGAAAATATTTAGTGAAATATTGCCTAAATTCTAATGTTTTATAGGATATACACATGGCATACTTCTCATAATATATTTATTTCATGTCTTAATGTTTATTTATATTTCATCAAGTAAAAATATTAAAAATGAAAACTTGATAGCATATTGCTATAAATAGAACTATACACTGGTTTTTACTGATCACAACTGCTGCAGTCTTTGTCTCCTTTTCCCCAATTTTGCAATTGCTAGTTGTAAAGAAATATATATGTGTGTGTGTATGTGTATGTCTATACATATACAAACACACATATTTCAAAATAAAATAGTTAACTTACCATAGAGCCTTTCAAGATGTGCAGGTTGCTTTTTGTACTCTTCCTGTAGGTGATCGGCCTCTTCTAATATACAGCGGTATTCCGGTATCAGAAAGTCTGTATTTCCCTCATGAACTTGCAATTCCTTGTTTTAAAATGAGAAAACAAAAGCATCTTAATGTTTAAAACTAAATCTAAGTGTAATAGTATTTACAATTTCAGAAACTCTATGATAACAAAATAATGATCATGAATCCATATCATATTTACTTACTTTTAGAGCATCAATTAACTGTACTTTCTTAGCCAAAAGCAATTGGTACTCTAGTTTTGGATGGATTAGCTTTAAAGTGTGTTTGACTGATACTTCATTGATCTCTAGAAGGTGGTGAGTCAGAACAATTAAGTTAGTCACAGAAGCTTTCTTTTAGTAACGAAAACTAAGAATTATTTGTTTTTCTTTTACCATATGATATGTTGAGGTTAATTTTCTTCTTTGTAGCTTCTTTGGAGAGAACATCTTTTAGAATGGATATAGTAGAAATGTTGTCAGACTTAAAAACTCCTTCTCCTTTTCTATAAAATAAGTAAATGAGCTTTAGAAAAAAGTGCCCAAGTATATATGAATTTTGTGACTAGCAGCTAGTGTTCTGGTTTCACATTTCTCTGTAATTGTTAATATAAAGCTTATTTAAATAACAACAATTTTACTAATTATTCTGGTTCTGAAATTACTTATAAAACCAAACAAATGATAATATCTATATGCCCAGTAACGACAGACAATTTTTATATTCTTTTCTTTCCTTTTTTAAAGATCATTTTAATGGGGGCTCTTACAGCTCTTATAATAATCCATACATCAAATTTATCAAGCATATTTTTACATCTGTTGCCCTCAAAGTTCCAGGAATTGATATTGAAATATTTCAGAACAGCTGCCTGGTCAACTGACTGGAAAAGAGCCATATTTGAGCCCATTCCAAGAAAGGTGACCCAACTGAATGCTCAACCTAAAGAACGATTATCACTGATATCATACACAAGTCAAATTTTCATTAAGATAATCAAACAATGGTTACAGCAGCACATTGACAGGGAACTGCCAGAAGTTCAGGCTGGATTCAGAAGAGAACGAGGGGCAAGAGATATCACTGTTGATGTCAGATGAATCTTCGTTGAAAGCAGAGAATACCAGAAAGATGTTTACTTGTGCTTCATTGATTTTTCAAAGGCATTAGACTGCATGGACCATAATAAACTGTGGTTAGCTTTGAGAAGAATGGGAATTCTGAAATACTTCATTGTGCTCATCCAGAACTAGTTAACGGATCAAGAAGTTGGTGTGCAAACAGAACAAGGGAATACTGCATGGTTTAAAATCAGTAAAGGTGTGCATCAGGGTTGTATCCTCGGACCATTATTGTTGAATATATATGCTGAGCAAATCATCAGAGAAGCTGGGATTCAAGGAAGACCTATTGAAAACCTGTGGTAAGCCAATGACACAACTTTGCTTGCTGAAAGTAAGGAGAAACTGAAGCACTTGCTGGTAAAGATCAAGGATTGTAGCCTTTGTATGGATTAAGACCCAATGTAAAGAAAACCAAAATCCTCACAAATGGATCAATAAAGATCCATTTGATAAACGGAGAAAAATTTAAGTTTCCAGTAGTTTGTCTTACTTGGATCCATAATCAATGCTCAGCACACTTGGGAGATCAAAGGATGCACTGCATTGTGTAAATCTGCTTCACAAGACTATCTTTCAAGTTTGAAAACCAAGGGGTCACTTTGAGGACTAAGGTCTGCTTGACCCAAGCCATGGTCTATTTAGTTGCCTCACATGGATGTGAAAGTGCCTAAACCTGTGCTCACGGGAGATCATTGTTGAGTAGCAAGTGGGAAGACATGCGATTGGGTTCTTAAGAGTACAGAAAAATGCGCTGTCCTCCAGATTATTACTTAATACCCTCAAAAAGCAGCCAGCTTCTGAAGTTCAAGTCCTTCAGTTAAAATTAAGATAATTATTCAGATTCATTTGAGGACTTCTACTTTTCCAGTACTTTCATATTGATGGCAATATACTACTATTTCATTTAATCAAGTCGTTCAGGTCAATCAAATATATCGCTTTCTTCAAACTTTCTTTATATCATATATCTTGTAAATAATAATTTAAAAAATATTTTATAATTTTAATATAACTTTTTTTCCAAATTGTTTTCACTATGCTGAAATGGATTTTGTAAACTAATGTATTTTGTAACTGGTTATTATTAAGAAATTTTTAAAAGTGTGGCTCTTTATACAGTCATCTTTATTCAATTTCTAAACTCATTCTTTTTGTTTTTTAATCGATTTGAAGGGTCAAGTTTTCAATTTCAAATTATACCTGTCATATCAAATAAAAACTCAGAAGTC